TTATCTCTGTGTTTCGGTACACTACAGACTACAGTCTACAGTCTGAATTACCTCTGTGTTTCAGTACACTACAGTCTACAGTCTACAGTCTGTATTATCTGTGTTTGTGTTCTACAGACTGTATTATCTCTGTTTTTCGGTACACTACAGCCTACAGTCTGTATTTTCTCTGTGTTTCGGTACACTACAGCCTACAGTCTGTATTATCTCTGTGTTTCGGTACACTACAGCCTACAGTTTGTATTATCTCTGTGTTTCGGTACAGTACCGTCTACAGCCTGTATTATCTCTGTGTCTGTACACTACCGTCTACAGTCTGTATTATCTCTGTGTATCGGCAAACTACAGTCTACAGTCTATATTATCTCTGTGTCTGTACACTACAGTCTGTATTATCTCTGTGTTTCGGAACACTACAGTCTACAGTCTGTATTACCTCTGTGTTTAGGTACACTACAGTCTACAGACTGTGTGTTTCGGTACACTACAGTGTACACACTGTGTTATCTCTGTGTTTTTCGGTACACTACAGTCTGTATTATCTCTGTGTTCGGTACACTACACTACAGTCTACAGACTGTATTATCACTGTGTTTCGGTACACTACAGACTGTATTATCTCTGTGTTTCGGTACACTACCGTCTACAGTCTGTATTATCTCTGTGTTTCGGTACACTACAGACTGTATTATCTCTGTGTTTCGGTACACTACCGTCTACAGTCTGTATTATCTCTGTGTATCGGCAAACTACAGTCTACAGTCTATATTATCTCTGTGTCTGTACACTACAGTCTGTATTATCTCTGTGTTTCGGAACACTAATGTCTGCAGTCTTAATTATCTCTGTGTTTCGGTACACTACAGTCTACAGTCTGTATTATCTCTGTGTTCGGTACACTACATCTCTGTGTTTCGGTTGTGTCTGTACACTACAGTCTACAGTCTGTATTATCTCTGTGTTTCGGTACACTACAGTCTGAATTACCTCTGTGCTTCGGTACACTACACACTGTGTTATCTCTGTGTTTCGGTGCACTACAGACTGCATTATCTCTGTGTTTAGGTACACTACAGTCTACAGACTGTATTATCTCTGTGTTTCGGTACACTACAGCCTACACTCTGTATTATCTCTGTGTTTCGGTACACTACAGTCTAAAGACTGTATTATATTTGTGTTTCGGTACACTACAGACTGTATTATCTCTGTGTTTCGGTACACTACAGTCTACAGTCTGTATAATCTCTGTGTTTCGGTACACTACAGACTGTATTATCTCTGTGTTTCGGTACACTACAGTCTACAGTCTGTATAATCTCTGTGTTTCTGTACACTACAGTCTACAGTCTGTATTATCTCTGCGTTTCGGTACACTACAGTCTACAGTCGGTATTATCTCTGTGTTTCGGTACACTACAGTCTACAGTCGGTATTATCTCTGTGTTTCGGTACACTACAGTCTACAGTCGGTATTATCTCTGTGTTTCGGTACACTAGAGTCTACAGTCGGTATTATCTCTGTGTTTCGGTACACTACAGACTGTATTATCTTTGTGTTTCGGTACACTACAGTCTACAGTCTGTATTATCTCTGTGTTTCTGTACACTACAGTCTACAGTCTGTATTATCTCTGTGTTTCGGTACACTAATGTCTACAGTCTGTATTATCTCTGTGTTTCGGTACACTAATGTCTACAGTCTGTATTATCTCTGTTTTTCGGTACACTAATGTCTACAGTCTGTATTATCTCCGTGTTTCGGTACACTAATGTCTACAGTCTGTATTATCTCTGTGTTTCGGTACACTACAGTCTACAGTCGGTATTATCTCTGTGTTTCGGTACACTAGAGTCTACATACTGTATTATCTCTGTGTTTCGGTACACTACAGACTGTATTATCTCTGTGTTTCGGTACACTAATGTCTACAGTCTGTATTATCTCTGTGTTTCGGTACACTACAGTCTACAGACTGTATTATCTCTGTGTTTCGGTACACTACAGACTGTATTATCTCTGTGTTTCGGTACACTACAGTCTACAGTCTGTATTATCTCTGTGTTTCGGTACACTACAGTCTACACTCTGTATTATCTCTGTGTTTCTGTACACTACAGTCTACAGTTTGTATTATCTCTGTGTTTCGGTACACTACAGCCTACAGTCTGTATTATCTCTGCGTTTCGGTACACTACAGTCTACAGTCTGTATTATCTCTGTGTTTCGGTACACTAATGTTTACAGTCTGTATAATCTCTGTGTTTCTGTACACTACTGTCTACAGTCTGTATTATCTCTGCGTTTCGGTACACTACAGTCTACAGTCTGTATTATCTCTGTGTTTCGGTACACTACAGTCTACAGTCTGTATAATCTCTGTGTTTCGGTACACTACAGACTGTATTATCTTTGTGTTTCGGTACACTACAGTCTACAGTCTGTATTATCTCTGTGTTTCTGTACACTACAGTCTACAGTCTGTATTATCTCTGTGTTTCGGTACACTAATGTCTACAGTCTGTATTATCTCTGTGTTTCGGTACACTAATGTCTACAGTCTGTATTATCTCTGTGTTTTGGTACACTAATGTCTACACTCTGTATTATCTCCGTGTTTCGGTACACTAATGTCTACAGTCTGTATTATCTCTGTGTTTCGGTACACTACAGTCTACAGTCTGTATTATCTCTGTGTTTCGGTACACTAGAGTCTACATACTGTATTATCTCTGTGTTTCGGTACACTACAGACTGTATTATCTCTGTGTTTCGGTACACTAATGTCTACAGTCTGTATTATCTCTGTGTTTCGGTACACTAATGTCTACAGTCTGTATTATCTCCGTGTTTCGGTACACTACAGCCTACAGTCTGTATTATCTCTGTGTTTCGGTACACTAATGTCTACAGTCTGTATTATCTCTGTGTTTCGGTACACTAATGTCTACACTCTGTATTATCTCTGTGTTTCGGTACACTAATGTCTACAGTCTGTATTATCTCTGTGTTTCGGTACACTAGAGTCTACAGACTGTATTATCTCTGTGTTTCGGTACACTACAGTCTGTATTATCTCTGTGTTTCGGTACACTACAGTCTACAGTCTGTATTATCTCTGTGTTTCCGTACACTACAGTCTACAGTCTGTATTATCTCTGTGTTTCGGTACACTAGGTCCATGATCATGTGTTCTCACGATTTAGGCTACAAATTTCAATCTCATTGTTGAGATATACCTGCCGCATTTACAATTTTTTTCTTCTCCTAAATTTAATAGGGACTAAAACAATTAATTTTCCAGAATCACTTTCGTTTTTTACTAGATATGATATCAAATAACATTTATTCCATTGTTAAATAAATGTTTTGATTGAAAAGATTTACACGTGAATTCCTATAATCACTGCTATATCCATTAAAGTACGAAAGTGTATTTCCACGCGTAACAACTAGAGTAAAACATCATGCCTGATTCATGACAAAATCAACGTCAGGTAAACACAGATTGAACAGTTTCGATAGTCTGAAAACAATAGGTGGCCAATGTCCTAAAATGTAAGCTGTATTTTGGGTCAGGACTGAAAGACGAAGTCGCTTTGCCCAAATACAATTAATAGTGTATGGTAGTGACAATGTGTATATGTACTATCTATATTGCATATTCTAAATTAAAGTTGCTTTCTATACGCTTTCTACTCATATCATATTCCATTCATTTCGATTCAATTAGTACAAGTATCTTCAGAATATGTTAGCTTCACATCTTTCACCCTTACATCCAGTCTTCCATAAGACTTCAATAAAATTACATTCTCCTTCTGCAGTCGAAGGTATTAATGGAGAGTTGTCCATAGCACAACAATCTAATTTGAGCCTACCATATTCGAAATAAATTTTCCTTTCTACTGTTGTGTAAACTGCATTTTTAACATGTATATCAAATTACACGTGTCAGTGAAATATCTGTAAAAGCAATGCAGTTTAAACATCAGTAAACAACAATTTGTGACATTTTTATATCCAAGCAATTTTAACAAAACATTTATTGATAGTTATACGCACGGGGGAATAGTTCGACAACTGATGCAACGAATCTATTTCGGCGGTAAATTTTGTTAGAATTATTATTGTTAGAAGCATTTTGTTGGCATGACCAAAGACAGAATGCACACTGAAAATGTAAATACAGTAGAAGTTTACAAGCAAAATACGTTTGGGTCTATAGGAAGCAAGGCATGCGCGAAGTTGGTTTTAGATAAATAACTTAATGAAAAGAAAATGGACGTATCAAACGAAATGATTTAGCAGACGATGTTTAAATGTATTATCTAGCCAAAGTTTAGGTTTACTATCAGTGAAGTATCATACATTTAAAATGTGTATCTGTATAAGGTTAAGGGTCCTTATCATATCACTTGTTGCTTTGTAAGTACACATGTATGTGACCGATTTATTCAATAAGGCTGTTGTTGTTTAACGAGTTTAGATCCGAATCGTCGGTACAAACGCTGCAGTACAACGTGTGAATAATTACGTACATTATGTTCAAACTTTACAATATTTACATATTTGATTAACTAATCATTTCTTTTCTTAATTCGAATATTAAGTTCATAGTACTGTACCATAGGTGATATATTGTTCTGGTCTGTATCCATGTTAGCAGACAAACCATAAGATTTACTTTCTTTCCTGTGTAAGACTAACGATTGTACGGTGAGTACATTTTTTCCCTGTTTCAGGCATATCTACATCCTCGTTTATTTTCACCTTCAGATATATTGATGACGTCTTGTCTTTAAATATCAATAACTTTATTGATTACGTCCATCTTATATATCCACCGCATGGGTGCTACATATTTTCCTATTTTCAGAATAACCTGACTATTGTACTGTGTTTACTACAGAAGTCCACCCTGTTTTCCTATTTTCAGACTAACCTGACTATTGTACAGTTTTATCTACATAAGTCAATCCTGTTTTCCTATTTTCAGACTAACCTGACTATTGAGAAGAGAGTAGGATCAACCTACATCAAGATCCCTTGTATTGACAATTTCGGCTCATGTGTGTATGATGATCTCTGTGATATCCTGTATGGGGCGACTTGTCCTGATGTCTTGACAAAAAATGGCATCAACTGCACTTGCCCATTTCCTGTCGTAAGTTGTTTTCTCATTTCGCTCTTTTAATTTCACATCTGTTATTGGCTGTCATGAATAATACACATTAACTAATAGTGTCATCAACAACATAAATTTAAATAAATCTTTTTATTATATCTCTTAAACTTTTCAGAATAATTGTAAACAGCATTAAAAAACCTATCGGCACTAGAAGTTTTATTAGGGTCAACACGTGGCCTGTCATTAAAGGATTGGCGACAAACAACAACTTGTAGAAAGAAACATGTTTTACAAGGATATTTTTAGAGTTATCACGATATGAATGAGTGGTTAGGTAGAGACATATTTTGACCCCAAGATACTTTCACAGTCTACAGATATTTTGTGAAATGTTATGACCAGAACGTTTGCATATTTTATTTTCTTTCTTTTTAATGCTAAATAGGTATCACATGGAAAACAGGAGTTACAAAAAAACCGATGTGTAATTTATAGTAAACATCGTCATATGTAGCCTAATTGTTTGATATAGTAACTATGCAACCCCGCTGGATATTCAGTCTTTATCACATGAACTAAATGCATATATGGGTTATTTTTCTATCAGAAATCCTACAATCTGCCTCCATCTCAGTTCGATGCTGAGTCATTTTACTTCCCGTCCGGTGATTACCACGCCCGAGGAGAGTTACGGATCAACGGTACGTTCATTGGCTGTCTCGATGTGCGTCTTTCAATTGCCAAAAATTGACAAAAAACATGTCCAGATATAAGGAATTACCTAACAGTGAAAAATAATCAAAACTGTAAATAAAATATTAGAATGCGGAAAGAATGATGTTCTTTTATGTGTTAGAAATGTGTGACACAGTGAACAAATATTTAGTTTAAACAATATTTTATTCAATAATCAGCAATTTGACAGATAATTTTATGGGATGGTAAAACAAGCTTAGAGTTTACATCAATGCCTTTCCCATTAGCATATTTGTATATAGTACAGTCTGACTTCAAAACTTGTTACAGTATGTGCAATATTGGTTCAGACCTTAGCTTGAAAATCTTGGCGTATGGAAAAAATGATTACATTGATAGATTGATAGTAAGTGATGTTTGCGGTAAACACATTACAGCACGCTGGTGCTCTTGAAGTCGATATAGTGTCAAGACTGCTCTTATCTAAACGATGATAAAATTCGCGCTGACTGGTTCCTTAACGAGTATCCTCTGTTCTAAAATAATGGTGATGTAACGCATGATCCAGTTCCCGATATACTCATGAATTCTGACACTAGCTCAAAGACGACCATCTTTCTGGTTGAGGTAGATAATTGACATGAGCATTGGAGAATTTTTTTTCAAAGACAAGACGAAATGTGTCATGGTAATGTGAAGTGGCAATTAAATGTGTTTTTATTATAAAAACAAGCATATTTTCCAATAAATAATGATAATAAAATGTGTTTTTATCATAAAATCAATCATACTTTCAAATAAATAATGACGATTAGATTCCTTTTCTTCATGAACGGATTATGACGTTATCAGATGTATTATTTCGAAAACACTATTGATACAAATTTGGATCGTATAACGTTGCATGACGTGCGCAGAACGTTGAACGATGTGAGCAAAACGTTGCATGATGTGAGCAAAACGTTGCACGATGTACGCATAATGTCTGTTCGATGTGCGCGCGATGTATACAGACTGAAGAGTTATTAAAATAATAATATACACCCATACGTTAGAGTGTTTTGTTGCGCAAGTGACCAATCACAATTCAATTCAATATTTTGTTTCCGTAAGATACAACTTATTCGCCAAATAACAGTTTAAAGGACAAAGACACTCACACTCTCCTCATCAAGCACATTATGTTATCATTCCTAATGTGGTATAATATTTTTGGAGAAAGCCATGAAAATACTACTTAGATTGTGATGGTAAATCTTTCCTACGTTTATGTGCTGATGTTAGAAATTTTCCTCTATTATTAAATTATTTTATATTTTCGACTTTGAGTGAGTGAATTCAAACATGCTAGGCTTAATTAGATAATATGTCTTAATACAATCGGTACAGATATCTAATCAGTCTTAGTGTACCGCCACTTATTATCTGTACAGTATATAAGTAAACATGAAATGGACGTTTCTTGTTTCGGCAATGCATCATCTAAAATCTTATGCCTTAAGAAAGGAAATTTTGTTAACATTACTTCTGTATGACTCTATTTTTTTTCTACCTTTTTGCAAAGAAAACACATAATCTCAAATCAATTTCGAGCGTTGTGTTTGTTACTGTGGAGTCCTAGCCTGGCCCTTTCGTGTTTATATCCGTTAACAGTAACTTTTGTTGGCATATCAATCGCCATTCTCAAAAGTGTAAAACTATATTGGGATAAATGTCCAATAATGTGCGTTTCCACAACTGTAAGCTGCTATTGTAAACAGAAGTGTATTTTTCCCCTGACAGCTTGCCGTTCTAATCACCTACCTCATTATCATGGAATTCGGCACTAACCGCTTACTTTATTTCAACCAGGTTCGTTGAATCCTCTAAAACGATGGACAACTGACATTTTCCCCTCCACTTGCTTAATTCCTAATATAGAATTAAGATCTTATTTCCTAATATAGTCAAACTGGATGTATCATGTGATTCTATTTGAGTTGATTGCATGTCATAATGAGACGGGAACACGTGAAAAATATGTTTTTATTTCTAGTTTCATAGAATACCATAAAATTAATTTTTGAATTAGATGCCAAACGTTATTGCGACTGTCATGTGATTTTGTTACTATGGAACATGAAACTTTGGAACTATCTTCGAATGTCATTATTATACTACCTAACTAGTTAAAAAATCCTATGAAATCCTAGGATAAGGATTCCGGGGTCTTATATGTATAAATAACTGACTTATATCACGTGTTGAAAAAGATAACAGATAACTGACTTATATCCATCAGATAACTGGCTTATATCCATCAGATAACTGACATATATCCATCTGATAACTGACTTATATCTGTAAGATAACTGGCTTATATCCATCAGATAACTGGCTTATATCCATCAGATAACTGGCTTATATCCATCAGATAACTGGCTTATATCCATCAGATAACTGACTTATATCTGTAAGATAACTGGCTTATATCCATCAGATAACTGACTTATATCTGTAAGATAACTGGCTTATATCCATCAGATAACTGGCTTATATCCATCAGATAACTGACTTATATCCATCAGATAACTGACATATCCATCAGATAACTGACTTATATCCATCAGATAACTGGCTTATATCCATCAGATAACTGGCTTATATCCATCAGATAACTGACTTATATCCATCAGATAACTGGCTTATATCCGTTAGATAACTGACTTATATCCATCAGATAACTGGCTTATATCCATCAGATAACTGACATATATCCATCTGATAACTGACTTATATCTGTAAGATAACTGGCTTATATCCATCAGATAACTGGCTTATATCCGTTAGATAACTGACTTATATCCATCAGATAACTGACTTATATCCATCAGACTGGCTTATATCCTCAGATAACTGACTTATATCCATCAGATAACTGGCTTATATCCATCAGATAACTGACTTATATCCATCAGATAACTGACTTATATCCATCAGATAACTGGCTTATATCCATCAGATAACTGGCTTATATCCATCAGATAACTGGCTTATATCCATCAGATAACTGGCTTATATCCATCAGATAACTGACTTATATCCATCAGATAACTGGCTTATATCCATCAGATAACTGGCTTATATCCATCAGATAACTGACTTATATCCATCAGATAACTGACTTATATCCATCAGATAACTGGCTTATATCCATCAGATAACTGACTTATATCCGTTAGATAACTGGCTTATATCCATCAGATAACTGACTTATATCCGTTAGATAACTGACTTATATCCGTCAGATAACTGACTTATATCCATCAGATAACTGACTTATATCCATCAGATAACTGGCTTATATCCATCAGATAACTGGCTTATATCCATCAGATAACTGGCTTATATCTATAAGATAACTGACTTATATCCGACTTATATCCATCAGATAACTGACTTATATCCATCAGATAACTGGCTTATATCTGTAAGATAACTGGCTTATATCCATCAGATAACTGACTTATATCTGTAAGATAACTGGCTTATATCCATCAGATAACTGGCTTATATCCATCAGATAACTGACTTATATCCATCAGATAACTGACTTATATCCATCAGATAACTGGCTTATATCCATCAGATAACTGACTTATATCCATCAGATAACTGGCTTATATCTGTAAGATAACTGGCTTATATCCATCAGATAACTGACTTATATCTTATATGTATCAGATAACTGACTTATATCCATCAGATAAGATAACTGATAACTTATATCCATCAGATAACTGACTTATATCCATCAGATAACTGGCTTATATCCATCAGATAACTGACTTATATCCATCAGATAACTGACTTATATCCATCAGATAATATATCCATCAGATAACTGCTTATATCCATCAGATAACTGGCTTATATCCATCAGATAACTGACTTATATCCATCAGATAACTGACTTATATCCATCAGATAACTGACTTATATCCATCAGATAACTGGCTTATATCCATCAGATAACTGACTTATATCCGTTAGATAACTGGCTTATATCCATCAGATAACTGACTTATATCCGTTAGATAACTGACTTATATCCATCAGATAACTGACTTATATCCTGTATCAGATAACTGGCTTATATCCATCAGATAACTGGCTTATATCCATCAGATAACTGGCTTATATCCATCAGATAACTGACTTATATCCGTTAGATAACTGACTTATATCCATCAGATAACTGACTTATATCTGTAAGATAACTGACTTATATCCATCAGATAACTGACTTATATCCATCAGATAACTGGCTTATATCCATCAGATAACTGACTTATATCCATCAGATAACTGACTTATATCCATCAGATAACTGGCTTATATCCATCAGATAACTGGCTTATATCCATCAGATAACTGACTTATATCCATCAGATAACTGACTTATATCCATCAGATAACTGGCTTATATCCATCAGATAACTGGCTTATATCCATCTGATAACTGACTTATATCCATCAGATAACTGACTTATATCCATCAGATAACTGACTTATATCCATCAGATAACTGACTTATATCCATCAGATAACTGACTTATATCCATCAGATAACTGGCTTATATCCATCAGATAACTGACTTATATCTGTAAGATAACTGGCTTATATCCATCAGATAACTGGCTTATATCCATCAGATAACTGGCTTATATCCATCAGATAACTGGCTTATATCCATCAGATAACTGACTTATATCCATCAGATAACTGACTTATATCCATCAGATAACTGGCTTATATCCATCAGATAACTGACTTATATCCATCAGATAACTGACTTATATCCATCAGATAACTGACTTATATCATCAGATAACTGGCTTATATCAGATAACATCAGATAACTGACTTATATCCATCAGATAACTGGCTTATATCCATCAGATAACTGACTTATATAACCTTATATCCATCAGATAACTGGCTTATATCCATCAGATAACTGGCTTATATATCAGATAACTGACTTATATCCATCAGATAACTGACTTATATCC